CATTTCCAAGCTCAAAGCAAAGCTGTAACTGAGTTAATACTAGTTAACTGCGGATTATTCTTTTTCACGCTCCTAGTGGCTTACCCGTACACTCACCTTGCTTGCCGTTTCCACGAAGCTGGTCGGTATACCCGTGTTTCGAATATGCAAGTACCCATGACCCCGTAAGTGGGGAGCGGGCATCATTGCCCACTGATGCAGGCTTGTGCTATAGGTAGCTTCTAGGTTTAGATGTGTCTGGTGTATGCGGCATGCTCGCCTCGGTCATTCGAGTTAAACAGAAAATATTTTACCCTGCGATTTCAATGCAGCGAAAGTTTCCCGCCTATCTCCTACTTATTACGCTATTTAGAAGCGGTTCCCGATCCACTTGATTGGTAAATTTGCGTTCCCCATGAACATTCCATTTCATTCTGTTTCATCTCCTACTCTTATCTATAACATTAGCTCATTTCTGGTTGTCGTTTAGTCTATTATCCTACTCAGCCAACCTTATTCCAGCTTAGCATGTCATGGTCTAACGCGTTCACGAATACATATAATTAAATAAGTACTTTTTTGTGCAGTGGATTCCCTCCAGTCATTTCAAACGATCCCTTCCGGGGCCTTCTTGATGACTCAAATTCACATCCACTGCAGGGAGCAGGAACTGGAGCGCATGGCATCGATGGAACTGCTCAGGGATGCGCCGTGAACTCGACATCCGGCGAACTTTCTCATCCATTCGCGAACGGGCCATCGCTGCTTTGATCAGTCTTGACCTTTTCCTTCCCACTGGACCTGATACGACCAACTCTCAGACGAAGATTCCTCAACGCACGCTTGACCCTGCGCCTTTATCGAGTCTATACTAAGTAGGTTTCCTCTTCTCCTGACTTCTTATTCTCCTTTACCAGGGGTCACCTTCCAAACCGTAGGCTCCTGGGAGATTGAACTGTTCTGGCGCTGCACTATGGATGAGGAGAAAGAAGTGAATCGCAAGGCGGATTTAAGTTCTGGCTTCGATCGTTTTCGGGCTTTTTAGAATCATAGATCGAAGCGTAAAAAACATGATTCATATCTTTTTGTTCTGAACTTGAACTGAGTGACTGATTGTAAGGTACGCATGACTCGTTTGCAGGCTGTCACGCAGTACACGCTCCTTAGCTTAAGTGAACATACCTAGAAATCACTAAATAAGGTTTTGGTATGCGCTCCAAAGAATGTAGCAGGAGACACCTTTACGCTAATTGAGTGTGGCATTACTACACTCTACACGGTGCAACCGGAGGTCAGCCTATTCTTTGAGATTCTGAGCATTAACCTCCCGTACATTACCGATGAAGTAAGGAACACTAGAAGGGAAGGGCGTTTAGTGGATTGATAGTGAACAACAATTGAGCTTGAAGCTGCTTTAGGCTGGTGTCAGAGTCCGCGATTTTTTGCGCGATTTTCGCGATTTGCGCGACGGTCACGGAAATCTCAAGTGCCTCATTCAATACTGCAAGGTGTTCTCTTCCACTTGCTTCATATTCAGTGTTTCAATTGTTCAAATGGGCCACTTGCAATTTTTGTGATCCGCGCGATCTCATGGTCATCCTCATGGTCAGTTCAGAATAGATGCAGTTCCGTCCCTGAACGAATGAGCATTTCAATGAATAATAGACATAACATTAAACGAGTAGAATCACGGGCAGTCTTCCTTCAATTTCCAGGATTAAACAGCACCTCGCAGTATTCATCGGGGCACCTCCAACTCCTGTGACCCATCGCAGGTTTCGCAAAAATCGCGAAAATCGCGCAAATCGAATCGCGGACTCTGACACCAGCCTTGAGCCCTTATTGAGAGGAAGGTCAAAGCATAGTAACGTTTCCACCCAATAACGTCCTGATAGGAGTAAGGGAAACAATAACAATAAACTGTGCGGTGAAATAAAAATAACGGAACTTGGAAATCACTTCTAGGATCATTTTGGAACACAATAATCACGTTGGGTTGAGTTTGCAATAAACTTTAGCAGCTTTACAGTGTTTTCAACATTGGGATCAACGTGAGGCTTCTGAACAGCACAAGAAAAATGTAATAAATCTGTTTATCAAAGGCAACTTAAACTGCAATGCAGAACAACAACATACACAAGGAAACGTTCTTCCTCAAAGATATACAGCTTCCATGTAGAAATTGCAGGAACAAGGACATAGACGAAATCGAACTAGTACGGTAAAGCTGATCGAGGCTAAAATCACAGAACTATTTGAGACGAAAATCTCTCATATAAGATAAACATAACAACATTAAAAGTTAAAGTTTCTCAGTAAATCAAACGCAATGGTGCAGCAATAACTCACAACGATGAGCGTTTAGTTAAGGCTCAAGAATCAACATTTTCACCTCAACACAAAATATTTCGTAGTAAAAAGACGGGGAGAAACGCGAAAAGGTTGACCAGAGTTCTTCCTCCGGATTGGATGAAAAACATTAGTTATCGGAGGTGAAAAACAGAGCATAATGACCCGTTTATCGTCGCTGTGTCACACCGTACACATCGTGCGTCCTGTAGTAGTTTTGTAGCTCCGAAAACAGCATCGCTGAAATAATGCTATTAAATCCACCTTGAACCTGCTTACGTCATGCTTTCACAATTAAACGCCTGATAAAACCTGAACCTGGACGGGCTCAGTCCGCCTGTCAAAAGCGTAAGTGTAATAAGGGGCAGAATAAAAACGTTGCCGGAAAAATTGCCCAGAGAACAACAATCGTGGCCTTCTCAATGACTTGAAACATATCAATTCAGTCTGACTTTACGCCGTACCTTAAAAAAGCTTAGCTTGCGCCCTCTTAGATGAATGTTGCCAACCAGCAAAAAAGGACACCACAAAATACAAACGTGGTTTGCTCGGGCAGTTTGAAGCGCTTTTTGTCGAACCGCTAGGAATCTATTTGCTCTCGAAGCTTATATCAGGTTTTAACAAATGTCTAGGTAAGTATGTCACATGCACTAGTTTGTAAGTCAAATCAGAAAATGTTCACAAGAACATCAGGATGATAGGTGGTCTTAAACACAAGGGAAATGCCGTTAGGTCTACTTGGAATAAAGTAAAACAAATGCTTAGGATATGTGGGGCATGAAAGTACGGAAGAGGGCCTGAATGCCGTGAAAAAGCCTGGAGCGTAGAACTACTTCACTTGAACCACTGAGTACATGGATAGTTTCGCCGTCAGTTCACTTAATCCGATACCGCCTTTCTACCCATTATTCACAGATTCGGCCAGTCAAAGACTGTGCGTACAAAAAAAATCCGTTCAGAAATTTTCAATTTGAGCTCACTTCTCCATTCTTCCACGGTATGCTCACCATCTACGGTGGGATCATAATGGCCTGGTGGAGGAGCATGCACCTGAAATAACAATATCAGGATCGACTTTACGAATTCTTTTATCGAATGTCCACGGATCAATAAGGCTTGTTTATTTGTTTGTTATAATGCTACAATATAACATAATTATATTAAGTCTTATCTCAAAATAATATAACAAAAGGTATTAAAGCAACAATCCCATATGAGGTCGAGTCGAAAAACTCCTCTACGGGTGGGATAGAATAGCCCAATTATCACAGATGTGACGGACGAGATACCTCGTGCTCGCCCTTACGCAACGTGGATTACGATAAGCGGATAGGTAGCGATAGGTAGATAGATATGGTAGCCTCATCGCATTGATGCGGTTGCGTTCAAAAAATTCGTCTAGATACATTCTTTCCACGCCATCGTTATCAATCGCTATTACTCCACCAGTTTGAACTGGGGTTGTTGCTTTGAAAAATTTCCAATTTCATTGCAACTACTCGAATGCGCTAGATGTAAATGGTATCGGCTCCTGGCTGATCTGCAAAATCGCACCGAACCCAGTCCGTCTGCGCATTTCTCCCTATATCGTGGCTTCCGGGCGGAAGTGGTGTAGTGGCAAGTGGCACGCTTACCACGCGAGCGGTCCGGGGATCAAATCCTGGGTCGTGAGTCGCCCGGGCCAACCAAGCCTTCCATCCCTCCGGGGTCGGTTAATTGGTACCAGACTTGTCTGGGAGGATAAAAACACTGACTTGTACATCGGCTGGCCCCCGCAAGTCATTGTATAGGCCACATCGCATTCAAACGCCACTACGAATGTACAAATGGAAGTAGAATGCGTGCCGCATCCCAAAAAGGGATTGATCAACGGCAAATGCTTTATCCTTTATCCTTTATCATGGCTCCCGACACTAGAATACATCTAAACCAGAAAAACCTTTGTTTCATAAAGTAAATTAATTCGAGTCAATCGTCCTAGACAGTTAAGTTAAGCGAGTTAGGAAGCCACACATATGTTCATTCAAATAAGGTTTCCATATAAATTTCACCTACCTCAGATGCATCATACCACACGTTCACGTATTCATGGGCTAACGCATCATCAACAGATATTCTTTTTTCGGGATCGATCACTAACATTCGCGCAAGGAGATCCCGAGCTTTCGCAGCTAAAATTGTTAAAGTGTGCAAATTAATTGCATATGTACACAACTGTAATGTAGGGTTGATGGTAACATACCTGTTAAACGTGCATTGTCAGCACCAGGAGGGAACATATTGTCAGCAAACAACGTTTCAAATGGAACTGGTTGATATCTACAAATGCCATAACATTCTACAGTTATGCCGAGAAGATCGAAGTAGAACTTCATAAAAGGCAAAATGACTCACTTAGGCCTATTCTCAACATAATTCCGTACAGTTGGCTGAAGCCGGCTGAGGAATTGCGAATCTGGAGTGCCAAGCAACTCAATGATTCGTGTCCACTGATCTATGTGATCGGCTCCAGGAAATAGAACTCGCCCTCTGATGAGCTCGCCAAAGATGCAGCCGACCGACCACACATCGACTAAATTGAAGGAAAATATGCACAATCGTTGATTCATATAAATCGACCACTAGGAAAGTTTGCATGTTTACCACTTCTTATTTAAACATCATTCCAAAGAAAAATCAAGCAGTTTAACATGTGATTTTTGTGGATTATACTTCTAAATGGATGATAGAAGCCACATGGAGCTGGGTTGGTAATACAAAGCTATCACCACGAACAGGAAAAGTAATTTCACATGAGCAAGTCCTAAGGTGTGAGAGGTAAGTATTGGTATGCCTGATATGGGAGAAAGGGGCCTTAATTTCATAGCCCGTTGAGAAAATCCCTTCAAAATCTACTTTAAAATACCTAGACAGCATCTACATGACCTGAACCTGGCAGTATACACTGCGTTTCATAAATATAGGTCCACCCTAAATTTTTGCTATTCCAAAGTTGCTGTGCATTTTTGGAAAATGCCGCTATTACCAATAGTTTCCCCATAACGAAAAACCTTGATACTCGATTTCTGGAGAAATCTCGATTCAGAATTATTAAAATATCTTCTTTAGAACGTATTTTCACCGTTTCGCAAATATGACTACACATCACTTGTCGAGAGATTTTATTATAACAAAAAAAACGTCACGAATTTTCAATAATGGGATGGTCCTCCATTAATCATAAGGAACACAAATACGTTTTGGAATGCTGGTAGCCAAATTAGCTATTACAGTAGGATCGAAATTTGTCTGTGCGCCGATGATCGACGTTTTCAGCTCTTCGGCTGTTCCATTTTGCTTTTCTTTGCTGTGGAACTTTATAACAATTAAGGCCCAATGATTCTCCATTGGAATCTGATTCAGAGAACATGCGGGCCACTAGGGAACTGCCACATTTTTCTCGCAATTCCATCTGGCGTGGAGGGACCGGCATGGATAGCCGCGTTATCGTGCATAACGGAC